TAACTACCCCATACCGCAACATTTACGAATTCACGAAATAATTGATTTAGGATGTCAATCGCAACAAGCTCTTCGAACAGTACAATGGGGCTCCCATTGAAAAATAAGAAACGGAAGAGAAGACATCAAAATAAACCGGCCATCTCTGCGAGATTGATTCTGGATGAGCATGTGAAAGGGGACATCGGAGTCATATCTGGGGATTTGGCAAAAGATCTGTGTCTAGGACAGAGCGGTGTACCTGATGATACAGTTCATTACATTGCGATCTCTCCTTGTGGCCCCTCAACAGCAGTCGAAGATTCAACATGGACTGTTGTTCCTGTTCGGTCCTCGAACAATTTGGCAACTTCCACTGTGCAATTCTCACCCGACAACCCGACTCTACAAGCATTCGCGGAAACCCTGCAGAGGATCGCGCCTTCCAAGTTATCGAGCAACAGTCGAAGTGGCATTGAGATACGCGTCCTGGATATAGTACCTTTACCGTTAGAAACAGTGTTTGTTACGATCGAGGGGGAATCTGCGAAGAGATTAGAAAATGGGGAAGGGACATTTCACGGAGAACATCCACAGACGAATGGGCATACAAAGTCACCGAGAAATGGATCAAGGCCCGAGGATAAACTGACCAAGGCAATTCGAGAAGCTTTAAGATCGCTGAGAGTTGTGCATACGGGAGATTATGTTCAATTACCTTTGCAACCTCATCCAATCACCCACGTTCCTCCCCCTCCAGCAAAAGTCACTCTTAGCGAGCCTGTAGGACAAGGACTGCTGTCGCCAAAAACTAGGATCATCGTCACTCAGACTGGACACCATGCGAAAAGTCTACCGAAACATACAGCTATCCCATTAAATGGAGGATTAAACCAAGTGACGGAAGAAGATGAGGATACAAGTAATGACCAATTCTATTCCGCTGCGGAGGACAGATACAAGACCGATACTGCTTTTGAAGGGGAATCTGATTATGTCACAGAAACAGACACCGAGATAGAAAGTAGTGCCGACAATGACAGTCTTTCGGATGACTCCATGGAGGATATGATCTCGCTCCAAGTACCCGCATTACCATCCCATAACGCCAGCGGAATCTCGACAATACAACCTGGATCTCCACAAACAATTATTCCAGGTGGACGAAGGACAAACGGTATTGCTACCCCGGGCTCCGTATTCTCTTCTTTTACGGCTACTACTCGTGCAGGTGGACAAAGTGGAAGGTTGTTCAAAACGCAAGGACTAGCAAGACCGCTTTCTGACGAAATGCTGCACCCAAAGCCTAATATTGATGATGACGAGGAGGCAAGAATATTCGTTGATATCAATTCTCTAACTAAAATCGGATGTTTCTCAGGAGACTGGGTGCGGTTAGAAGCAGCTGCAGAACCACCTGCCAATGGCGTTGGGCTTTGGGGACTGGGGAGCTTTGGAGATGTAGAGGAAGAGAAGACCTGGCGACCTGTCAAGGTTTTTGGTCTACCCGAAAGCTATTCACATCGGCCCATGACCAAAATACCACGTAGCAAACAGGAGGGTCGAAGATTGTCTTTCTTTGAATCACAAGTCCAAAAACCAGCTAGCCCATTGGCTTATATGTCGCCTCTGCTTCTTGCAAACTTGGAAAATACATCATACTGTCGCATTGCACCTCTGAAACGAGCGCCACAAACATTGAAGACGCCTTTAGCTAAGATCAATAGCTTTTCAAATCCCCCCACAGCAAAAGAATTAACTCTCATGAAGATTTCAACACCTGCTTCGAATGAGCGTACTTTGCAAAATGCTCTATTTGCTGGGCTGAAAAAGTATTTTTCTCAAAAGAGGAGAATCGTAAGGAAGGGTGATCTTATTGCTGTTCCAATTGATCAAGGTCTTGGTCGAACTTTACAATCGTCCACTGGTGAAGACCTTGAAATCGATGAAATGTTTTCGCATGCATCATTGGCTGAGGCAGAACCCACTAAATCGGCCAAAACCACTGCTGCGGCTTGGTACAGAATAAGCTATGTCGGTTTGACGAAAGACAGCTCGGAGACTAATGATGAAGACGATATCTGGGGTGGCGTTGCCTCAATTGACGCATCAAACACACGTATGATGCAATCAGGCAGTGAGAATAGTCGATTACCTGCAACTATGGAGAATTCTTGGGAATATTACCTCGGGCTGAAGTCACTTTCCAAGACTGATCTCGAACCCAGCGCAATACCGGAGATCAAAAAACCACATGTCACAACTTTACAACGGCGTTTGAGAGAATTAATCGCCGCAGCTACAAGCCCTAGAGCTATACACCTAAACTTACCACCGCTTGCAATTCTTCTTGTCTCTACGCAACGTAGCATTGGGAAGGCAACTTTAGCAGCTAATGCTTGCGCAGATATTGGCTTACATACGTTTAAGCTCGATGCTAAAGATGTAATCAATGAAAGTGGGGGTGGAAGTGATGTCAAAACTGCCGGATTTCTTGAGGCACGCGCTGAAAGAGCTATGAATTGTGGTCCCGCATTCTGCGCACTCCTCATACGTCACATCGAATGTCTTACTGCTGATAGAATGGTCACTACATTGAAAGACATTCAAAGTGGAACGAGAGTTGTTATTGCAACTACAACCGAGGTGGACAAAATTCCAGACGGTATCCGAGGTTTATTCACCCACGAACTCGAAATGACTGCTCCTGATGAGTGGGAGCGGGAGGGAATACTTCGTGCTATTATTGAAGACCAAGCGATTTCTCTAGCGCCGGATGTAGATTTCAGCTCCGTTGCCGTAAAGACTGCTGCACTTGTGGCTGGCGACTTACATGATGTTGTGGATCGAGCTCTCGTGGCGCGTAACTCTCGCATAGAAGCACTCGCAGCTGCATCTACCACCCCTGACAATATTGTTACGGTTCGCGATATCTTACTTTCTGCAGGGCCAGCAGGTCGCTGCCTAACCAAAGTCGATTTTGATGTTGCAGTAGATTTTGCAAGGAAAAATTTTGCTGATGCGATTGGTGCACCCAAGATTCCGAACGTCGGTTGGGATGATGTTGGTGGACTGTCAAATGTCAAGGAAGCAGTAATGGAAACTATCCAATTGCCTCTTGAACGACCTGAACTATTCGCAAAAGGCATGAAGAAACGATCTGGCATTTTGTTCTATGGTCCTCCTGGAACCGGAAAGACTTTACTGGCAAAGGCCATTGCCACGGAATTCAGTCTCAATTTCTTCAGTGTTAAGGGGCCAGAATTACTGAACATGTACATTGGTGAATCCGAGGCCAATGTTCGGCGAGTTTTCCAGCGTGCCCGTGATGCAAGACCCTGTGTTGTTTTCTTCGACGAGCTTGATTCCGTGGCACCTAAGAGAGGTAACCAAGGAGACAGTGGTGGAGTGATGGACCGCATTGTATCACAATTACTGGCCGAGCTGGATGGCATGTCTGATGGAGACGACGGTGGTGGAGGTGTTTTTGTTATTGGTGCAACAAATCGACCAGATCTTCTGGATGCAGCCTTGCTGAGACCAGGAAGATTTGACAAGATGTTGTATCTGGGAGTAAGTGATACCCACGAGAAGCAAGAAACTATTCTAGAAGCTTTAACGAGAAAGTAAGTCATCTGACATTTCCTCATCTTGAAATTTACTAACTCAGATAGGTTCACACTTTCTCCTACTTTATCTCTTGCTCGTGTTGCTTCTGGGCTTCCTTTTACATATACAGGTGCCGATTTTTATGCACTTTGTTCAGATGCTATGCTTAAAGCTGTAACTCGCCAAGCATCCTACGTGGATTCACACCTCGCCAAACTTAACTCCGAACGCGGAAGCGAGGGTAAAGGAAAGGTTTCAACCGCATATTGGTTTGACCACTATGCAAAGGAAGATGATCTTCGCGTAGTTGTACAAGAAGAGGATTTTGAAGCTGCAGGAAGGGAATTGGTTCCCAGTGTTAGTGCTGGAGAGTTGGAGCATTATGCGAGAGTTAGAGGCCAATTCGAGGGTAATAAAGATAAAGACAAAGTCGCGCCAAGACCTAGCTCATCGAGTAGCTCGAGAAGTTCGAGGAAAGGAAAGGGAAAGGGGAGGGCAGATCTCAAAGGCAAAGGAAAGGCCAAAGATATGGGTGACTGGGATGAGAATGCTGAAGATGGTTATTATAATGGCACTGACGAAGAACAACTTAATGGTACAATCAGAGTGAAGTCAAAGGGAAAGGAATCTGTACAAGGATTGTTCCAAGATGGAAGCATGGAAGATGAAGAAAATCTATATTAATGATGTATAAGGATATAAAAAAGCGTATATATTTAAGAGAGGAAGATAATATATAATCAATATAGGACAGCCAAATATACAACCTCAACCGTAAAGTTCGAACTGAAATCAGACTCAAAGTCTTTCCTGGTCATGAAATCCTCTCCGTTCTGTTCTACGTGCTCAGATTATTTGCTGTGAAACTCAACCACTTCAGCTAACTCCCCCATACTTTTGAGGTCTGATTTCCATTATCATTTCCAAACATCACCTGATGCGAAGAGAGAACACTGAGAACACTGACCCCCTGTCAAATTTATGTCAGCCAAGTAATAAGCTTTATCTCACATGTCAAAACGCCAAACGCCACAAGACTTTCATTATCCACTCTCAAGCCACTCATATGCACATATCGGTCAGGCACGGTCCATTGAATTGACACAGTTGGTTCAGAAACATGAATTTCGCATCGTTTTATAATTGTAAAGGTAACGGTATCGCATTTCCTACTTTTGTTTCACGCACATCTCTCTCTTTTCGTTTGCGAGGCTATTCTCTGTTTCGATTTACTATACCCTGTTCCTTTCTCTCATATTTTTTTGCAAGGTAATGTTCGCATTTCTTGGTTTCCATTGGTAAGTTTTGAATTGTTCAAGTTGGTGTTTGTAGATTACGAGAGACGGGGACAGGGGATATAAGGATCGTCGATTTCCATGATTTTGAAAGCTCCACTCGAGCGAACAATTTGAATGACTTCGAGGTTCAATTCGAAGAAATTCGAGTACGTGCGATATTCCGCCATGAGCAACGAGCCTGAACCCGAATCCACCTATGCCGGCCAAGCCGCAAAGCTCTCGCATATCGACCCCGAGAATGATGATGATGGGGCTGGAACAGCGATGAGAGCGGACTATGTGACGGCAAGGGATACAGTGGTTGTTATGGAGGATGGAGGTCGCTTGCCCGGGCCACCGTTGCAGGAATCAGAGAGACTGAATGGACTCAGAAGACAGGCAAGGGGTGTTGGTGGTAACATGATTAGTGAAGTCGAAGGGGCGGAAGAGATCGTAAGCGAAGAGAATCGACTGGCAGCGGGCGAGAAAAGGAAAGATTCACATGACGTTGGAGGGAATGGTGGGCAAACATCAGGCCAAGGCTCACTCGGAAAAACCATGCCGCCCTCGCAAACGCATCCTTTATTCCCACCTCTGCCACTATACGGCCCGTCGTCAATTACAAGAAATCTACAATGTTGGACATTCAGGACTACCAGTTTTTTCATTACCTGTGCAGTTCTGGGAGCTATTGTAATGGGAGCGGGAGTTATGACTGTGCCGACTATTTTTACTTATTTATGGTACAAGGCTACATTCAGGGATCCAGACCGAGGACGGGTATTCTACGAGGAAGAGAAAATACGAAGGAGGACTAGGAAAGAAGAAGAAAATCGCTGGAAGAAGATGAATCGCCAAAAATTGTCCAAGGAAAAGGTGGATGATATTGAAGGTGATGCGGGGCAAGGGGATTTTGTACCAACAGAGGGAGGTAAAGATCCGCTGGTTTGCGATGTGGGATATTATGCGCGAAGAGTAGGTCTAGACGTCGAAGAAATAAAGGTTCAAACAGAAGATGGATTTATCATTCTTCTTTGGCACGTATACGACCCAAGCGAATATACGCCCATGACGACGGAGCAACGAGCGGCGCGGGGACCAGAATTGTTCACTGATCAAGGACCAAGTCGACCACTTTCTTCAGACTATAATCGCCAATCAAAGTATCCCGTCCTAATGATTCACGGTCTCTTGCAATCATCTGGTGCTTATTGTACTAATGATGACCATTCTTTAGCATTCTATCTATGCAAACAAGGCTATGACGTTTGGCTCGGCAATAATCGATGCGGATTCAAGCCAGAACATAAACTTCTTGACTATGCTGATCCACGCATGTGGGCTTGGAACATTCGGCAGATGGGTGTTCTAGATTTGCCAGCACTTACCTCTCGCGTTCTATCCGAAACTGGCTTCCCCAAACTAGCCCTCATTGGTCACTCTCAAGGCACGACTCAAACATTTGTTGCGCTCGCGAAAGAGCAACGGCCTGAACTGGGTGAAAAAATCAGCGTGTTTTGTGCATTGGCTCCAGCCGCATATGCGGGACCGCTTATCGACAAGGGTTATTTCAAATTCGTGCGCAAGATCTCTCCTTCGTTCTTTCGCATCATCTTTGGTATTCATGCTTTTCTTCCGTACATGATGATCTTCCATAAGATTATACCAGGAAAGATTTTTGGTACTCTAGGATATCATGTTTTCCACATGTTGTTCAAATGGAGTGATGCTAGATGGGATAAAGGAACGCGAGATCGTTGTTTCCAATTCGCTCCCGTGTATGTAAGTGCGGAGAGTATGAGGTGGTGGCTAGGGAGAGATGGCTTTGCGAAGCACAAGTGTATATTAGCAACGAAAGAGGAGAGTATGCTGGAAGATGAGGAAGACAGATTGGTATGGGGGGATACTCAGAATAATTCGGATAACAACGACGAGAAGAAGTTGACAGCCAAAGGAAAGAAGGCGTTAGGCACATCAAACACACCTGAGAACGAGATGCAACCCGGAGCAGAGATGATGGAAAACGAAGGAAAGAGGGAGCCTAAGAGAATTAGAGCTTGGTATAATGAGCAGGTACCCCCGTTCGCATTATGGGTGTCGGGATCCGACGATTTGGTCGATGGAAGGAAGCTACTCCGGAGATTCGAGAGAGGAAGAGAACCATGTGTGAAGGTCGTTCATCAGAAGGTGATAGAGGAGTATGAGCATTTGGATGTTATCGTATGTACTACCCACAATTTCCTCACGATTTCCATTTCTTTTCATCTCCAGCATATATTCTCTATCAAGTTCTTGGTGGCCTAAACTAACATATATGAATTTGATAGTGGGCCGTGGACGCCCTTGAAAAGGTAGGCCGAGAGGTCAAAGAAGTGATTTGGAAGACGTGTTTAGCACCGGAACGAAGCAAATGTCGTGTCCCGCTTGGATGTGAACAAGTGGGGGTCTGGGACGGCGTAGAGAGGTCCGGTGTCTTTGAGAGCCGAGATTTTTCAGAGAGTAGTCGAGATCAAAGTGACAGTGATCGTACCCTATGAGCATGGGTCGAAGACTGTTTGAGGATCTGTGATAGAATTGAGGCGGTAGACATCGACGAGAATGCCTCAGGGGCCTGGCGCATCTCTTGTATAAAATTCATGACGGCGTTCTAGGTACTACTGTATGAGCATACTAATACAATCTGGATGGATAGAATTGGGAAGGGACGGGCGGCGGAACTGTCCTTAAGGTTTGTGCTACCTATACTTAGAGATCTCTAGGATCACAACTTATTTAATTGCCGGTATTGTAATAGAATATTTTTAGTAATGAAGATGATATTTCAATCCTTCGATAGTGTAATTTGTATTTGTAGATTGATCTGAAATATGGATTTCACATGCATTTTGACTTGTTGGGACTTTTGAGGTGTAGATAGACTTCTGCATGAAATCCACAGAGGCTTGCTTGGATAGTTAACACTAAGAACAAGGTTATGATGCTATCACCAGGAGCCAATGTTGTTTTCACAAAGCCGAAGTCAATCACCTCTCGAGTATCAAATGTTATGTAGATTTGCAAACACTCTAATATAAAGTTTCTCGCTAAACCTTATCAAATCCTCCTGGTTATTTACCAGCCACCTCATTTTTGATACACTTTCAACCTTAACAGCATCGAACGTCGGGTTGGCAATATAAAATTCGGCAACATTCAATTTGGATTGTTGATCTTTGCCGCTTTGATGGATGGATTGATTGATTGATGCTGGATGCTGGATGCTTGAAGCGGATAAATGCTTATTGTGATTATTATTGATTGACGAAACCCTTGATGGCGTTTGCAGAAGATAGTTCCTGAACGCTGAGGAAAATATAGCGTTGGAGTTTTTGGTAGAAGAGTTCATTCTCGGAGTTGATCGAGATGATTGATAGTATTGGTGTTCAGGCCAAGTTTTAACCTAATCGTCTAAGCTGGCTGCTAGTGCGCTACAGATACCTGTTCGGAACATTATTATGCAGCCTGTAAATTTTGAAGATGCCAAGATACGGGCCCCTATCTTCTCTCGCTAAGGACTAGCAGAAAAGTTTGTGCCTCTACAATATTTAGAATTGACGTTTGATACCTCCCACAGTAGGACTATCTTTACAATTCCTCGAGGATGAGATGTCGATTTGATGTTTTGGAGCTAAGTCCCACCCAGTCGCGTCTAGATTTCTTGAGTAGTCGTAGTTGTTTTCAACCCGGTGGCAATTCAAGTGACGAAAGCAACATGTGCTTCGAATCTGTCGTGGAACTCGTGCGTGCTCTAGGATAGAAGATCAGATGAATGAATTCATACTCAATTTGTGATTTCCTTTGGATCATTTATCTCCAAATGTCAAAATTGCGGTTCCATGTGGATATGGCGCTGCATTTACTAAGATCCTGCTTCAGTTGGTGTGAACAACTCTGCTGTAGGTTTGCAGATCATGGTGGTTTCCCTCACCTTGATAGTCTCTTTGACAATGATAAGTCAAACGCTTTTATGATCAATGCCACGAGTAAGGCTTCAGGTTTTTAAATCTCCTGACAGCATGTGAAAATTGGTCGTGGAAGGTGGAGCCTCGCTTCGCGAAAGTGTCCCACATTTGGCACAGACCACATGCAGACATCTTAGCGAGTCTTGAATGTGTGTAAGTAACAAATTAGCTGTCACGACCAGCGGCAGCGACGTGAACCTAACAGCAATGTATTGTAAGATCATCTCCCAATATTCGAGGCTCATATTTTGTCAACAGAAAGTTTCAAGTACCTTGAGATATTAGCTCTCATTTTTATTCTTAAATATGAGCGATATGGAATCGGAAACCGTTTGACCGTTTTTGTCCTATCTCTAAGGCGTATGAAGCGTAACATAGTAAGTACATAATCGAGCTTGCGTATAAAAGATTCCGTTATTATGAATGGCCAGATATATTTCCTTTATCGTATAGAAGAAATCTGGTAATTAAAAATCTTGATAAAAATCCCAAAATTGACTTAATAATATCAATACAGATGGATTCGGGTAGAAACCTCTCATGTGCCGTGAACTTTCATTGGAAACGAGACGTTCTTGAAATTATTTCCAATAAGATTTCGGCAAGTCCAATATCGAGTTGCACCGGAATACTGACGATCTGAGCTAGATGAACCGCAGATAAAGAGGAGATGACGATGAGGAGAATGGTAGCTATTCAGAAAAGAGGAGAGTAAGAAAACTCATGAAAGCTACAATTTGCTCAAAATCTAAGGACTGTGAGCATAGTATCCAAGATCATGCATCATTCCCACCAATACTGTGCACTCTTGCCCCCTCTTTCCAGACCTTTTCGAACCATCGCGGATATATGCAAGCAATTCGTCGAAAAGTTTGGACCCATGGTACTTGTATTCACTCAAATAGCAGATCTTCCGTATTTTGGCGGGAAACATGAAAAAGCTAGCCCACTTCCATGTAAAATCCTCGCCCAATTGTTGCCGTAATGTCCTACTTTTTGCCCACCAGCGGCCATCATGAATTACTCGCATTTGTTAGAATATAACCACGTCTATATTCTGATCTGCTGTCTCGAAAAAGCCCAACAAAAACCATGAGCACCGATTCCGCGAGGATCCCTCAGGAAGAGGAAAGTGGTCGGGCGTCGGCGGCTGTATGGACTCGATCGACGCATTCGAAAACAGTAGAAGGTTATGTCTAGCCCGTTGATGTTGTTCTAGTGGTAAATATTGCTGGTAGAGCCCACTAGCATCGTGCAAATTTCTTCGACTGCAATGTTGAGAGAGGTTAGATACCGAACTAGTGAAAGCGGAGCACAGTGGGGGATCTAATTGAACAGCATACTCACCGAGTTGAAATCAAGAGACGCAGTCCGAAGACAAATTCTGGAAGTTAGCATCAGAATACGCTGCCCAGGCGCTGTCAGAGAAGCTATTGAAATTGGCAGACAACAAAAATGGTCGGGAAGGGGCATTTGTGAAAGATAGACGATAAATTGCATACGGTGCGGAAGTGTAGAGGAAGGGAAGGAAGCAGAAAGAGTTGCTGAGGAAACAGAGACTAACGATATTCCCTATGGTTCTGTCAGAATTGTACTTTGAAATCTGCTACCTTTGAAATAGAGCCTACTCAGCATTTCACATCAAATCAGCTTCGAGAAGACCAGAAGCCGTCGGCCTGGTCAAATGAGAGGAACAATCGTTTACATGCAGCTGTGTGATTATTATCAGTTGCCTTAGGATTATATACATGTTAATCAAAAACGCCGGTAGCCTGCACCATAAATAAGCGCCCCAAGCCGAAAAGCCCAACTCATCTAATCCATCTCAAATTTTATTGTCATATGTTCGCTCTTGAATGCCAATTAAGTGATCGGGGTAGCTAAAGAACGGGAGTCAGTATATGGACTCGATAATAAAGACATTAAAATTTCTTCGCTATGTGAGCGTTTCCACACGCACCTATGGCCACGATATTCTCTAAACACCGATACTCCGTCTTCTTCATCATAGTGATCGACCCAAAGCCCCAATTATTCCCTACCACAAGGGCAATCTGTATATCGCCTGTGATAAGAGTAGCCGCGGCAGCCTTGTGTTCTCTCCATGGAAACACCGCCCATTGCCATACCACCCGTAGAAATACGCCGGGGAGTGAAGCCACACGAGCATTGTTGCAAAGGTCTAGCAGCAGAAGAAAGATGCTCGTGGTAAGAGTAGCCGCGGCAGGCCATGGTTCTCTCCATTGAAACACCGCTGGTCGGGCTACCACTCACTGAATTACCTCTACCGTCCGTAATACCACTACCTTGCTGTTGCGAGTCAGCAGTTAGATTCAAAGAACTACCGCTATTCTCTGCGACAGCTTCTTGGTTCGTGGATGGGCGTGGGGACTAGGGAGGCAGGCTGTCAGTAATCATCTCAAATATCTTCAGGAGTCACGAGATCCAGGCTCTACGCTTCTCAGCGACGCTAGGAATGCCGATGATTCAGTGACATTGTGTGTCGGTATTGAAACTCGCAGAATTAGGAATTGCAAAAGTCCATTGTACTTACCAGGGGCGAGGTCGATTTTTCCCTTCGGTTATTGCCGTTTTCATTCATCGTTATTTTTATCGATTCGTTGTATTTACTGTCGTCATTGATGAATATTGTTATAAATTTAGAAGAAGAAGAAATATGCCAAGAAGAAGGAAAGCTAATGCCACTAAGTAGAGTACTAGAGATTTAGGGCCTTAAGTCACATGAGCTTTCTAGATTTCGGAAAATTGAAGATACCAGACACGGAAGAATACAAACGTGACACCACACGAAGAACAATTGCTATTCTGCGATCACAAGAGCTTATGCATCTCTATCAAAAGGTAGATCATTCGAGATATACTTGATTCAGAGAGAGTTCGCAATAAGTACCTGATGTTTCCTGCATAAACTGCATATCTGCAATGGGAACCTTCAGTGTTCACCATTCTGCAAGTTTTCTAATCTATCCCAAAGAATGCTTCACACATTCGACAGGCAACAATCATGTTTAAAGCGTCTCCAAATCTGGACTACAATTCATCATAGAAGCCTGTTCTTATTCTATGTGCAGTCTTCGCAAATGTGCTTCCCTATTTACAGAGAACTATCTACATAAAAGCTGAGAAAGCTATTTAGTAAGATATCAGGAATTTTGCCTCTCAATTTCGAAGTCTCTTCCATCTAACAACAAACCGAAACTAGCAGTTTCTTCCTCCACGAGAGTATGCCAAACTAGGAATCTCGGTATAATTTCAAATCATAGAACTGAAAGTAGCGACACAATCTAACTGTAGGAGTACCACTAAAGGTACGAGTTATCATAGAAAGGAATAGCAAAGCCGTGGAACTAACCCATCTATCCGGTCCCTTTCATCTGCTGCCTGTACTTTTTCCAGATATCTGTAATAAAAACTTTTGTTGGCATGCGGTAGGCTCCTATTTATTGCTGGAGAAGGTGAAAATTATTTGGTGGGGTAACATTTGGCTTTGGATTGAGATCTGGGAACTTCTCTATAAGATCTCTCGTCTTTTCATGTTGATAACTACCTGCCATCCACTTCATATGGACTATCTGTCCCATTCCTGCATCGTTTCTGGCCTATGTGTGTAAGCGGTTTGTAATTGACAAGGAGAGAACGAAGGGCTTGTTGATGCCTCAGAAGATTGGCCACTTCCTCTTTCGGACCCGAAAGATTCAGAAGGGGACACGGCGGCACAATTTCCATCTCTCACCTAGAAGAAATTAGTTATCGCGGGATCACTCATCTTGAGTTATATGTATGCTTACAGTTATGTACTGCTGAGTTGCAAACCCCTGTGTTTGAACGGTAGGCATCTGAAATTGATAGTGCGACTGATTATATAGAGTCGCGGTTGCTCGAGGTGCCCATAAGTTTCTCTCTGGAAATAACGGCGAGTGTGTTTCATCAAGAAATGATATATAATTGGAGGGATACGAGCCCCAATCATAATGTGTATAGCCCATTTGCTGGAAAGAATCATTTGGTTGTTGGGTATCCATGCGTTGAGGTGACGGAAGGGATTGACAATCGAAATTAAACTTTTGCACTTCATGCGTGAATGCTCTGGTCACTCCCTGCCTCATGTGCTGGAAAGACTCCGAATTTGGAGGTATCTGTCCCATATGGCCCATGTGCTGGATAGAGTCTACATTCTGAGACACTTCTTGTACCTGGCCCACTTGGTGGAAAGAATCTTCCTCTTCAAACATCCAGGACTGAGTTGGTTCATCATGATCAATCCGATATTCCTGATAGATATTGGATAAGCTTGATTCACTGTGCTGAGCTTGACATTCTACCATGAATCCTTCTAAACTTCCAGAATGTTTATGCCCCTTTTGTTTAGTTGGCTTTTTCTGAATGACCTTAGGAGATAGTGGTTTTGAAATGACTTGTGTAACTCCTAACTTTCCAGCATGCTTCTTGTTGTGCTCTTCAATTATTATGTCGATATTATTCTTCTCTCTGCGACGACTCGAGGGTCTTGATGTCATCATCGAATAAGACAAGTCTTCTCTGCGCTTGTATTTGTGTCTATTATCTTTATCTGACAATAAGGAGAATGAAATATCAGAAGATCGTTCAAGCACAGCTGTTTGTCTCATGGTATTGGAGATTTTATCGAAAGAAGGCGGAATTGTTGCATAGGTGGAACGGCTTTGGTAATATTGTGATGACATACCAGGAGAATCAATAGTAGGACTTTGAACTAAGGATAATGATGTCTACTTAAGACCATTAGCTACTTATAAATTGATTGAGAACAGGAGGTGCCATGTACTGTAGAACCTTGAATATTCCCGACACTCTCGTCGAATTCTGGGTCAATTGGCATTATCGACTGGGTTTCTGCCTCCTGATCTCTTTCCTCCCTTGCATATGAGAAACATACATTGCCAGAGGGCTGAATTTCGTTGTATATCATGGGAACCTCCTCATCTTCCTCAATGTTGTCTTCTGTGAGAATAATGGGACTTTCTTTTTGCAGGTTAAGAAATTCATCGTCGTTGTCTGCTTCTGGCAGATCAAAGAAGTGCCGTTCCCCCCAAATGTCCTCATATATTGCCATGGCTTTTTGAGAAAACTTGAAAGTTGATTAGAAAGAGATTTTCGATGAAGTCAAAACGAGGTTATTTTCGACAGTGGGATCGAATGAAGATGGACCCAGAGCAGACTCAATCCACTAGTCATGGGTTTAATCAAATTTTCCCCTCTCAAAAATCAAAGAATTCACCTTCATGGCAGTGTTTAATGAAATATAACAGGAGGATAAGTCATCAGAGGATAGTTCATCTCATACATCATCGCTTTTTGGTCTTTTTCTAAATCTCATAAATTCATTGGCATAGTGGGATTCTGCCACTTATCAAAATATCTTGACCATTAATAAGAGGCTCTAATTTGAAACATCAATTTCATTAGAAAGATCTATTCATACCTACTTGAAGTATATTTTATCTCTTGAGAACAAGATTAGATCATATTTGAGACTATTGGAAAATCAACATATTATTTGCATCCCGTCGAAATAGCTCCCACTAACCCGAGCTTCAGATCATCCCAAGTTCAATTTCTTCATATTGAAATGTACAGTCTCTAATTCATTCTCCTCTTCAGAATCCTCATCAGTTGAAGATAGTCCATTTCTCATTGAGCCAAAGTCGAGACTCACTCTTACTTCCTTTCCGAGGTGATTTTTCATTGTGATATCATTTCTGCTTGAACTTTGGACTGTACCAACTACTGTGGTATTCGTTGTATCCACGACTTCGCTTCTAGATGTAGCAGATTGTGATGGCTGCTTGGTAGATTTGATGAGAGATTCGTCTGCTTTGTTCATGCTATCTTTCTTCATCAAGTTAGCTTGACCTAATTCAACAGCGGAATCTTGCCCCCATAAACTCACAATGGTCTTTTTCCCCTGTGGATTGATCGATACTCTATGCTTATCAGGCATAGCCATGGTTCTTGACTTGTAAATTATGAAGCTTTGCAGATCGTTTCTTTGGACTTTCTGAAAATTTTCGATGTGATATTTGTGTTGGAAGTTAGAGAAACTAAAAGAAACTCTACCAAACCATGCTGTGTAGGAACGATGATTAACACAGTGGAGAGTGGAAGGGACTTTCACAGGAATCCTAAGAATTATGAATGCTGTATCCGAGAATTCACTAGATAACCTTGATTTCAGAAAAAGATCCTCACTTCAATGGATACACATATTTTGAGACCTTTAGATGATCTTCCTTGTCTTAAAAGAAATCTTAGTGATACTAGTGATGCAAAACAAGATGGTCAATATAATAGCCTTCTCAAAAAAAAACTCACACAACGAGCTTGATAGATTCACATGAAGGTTGGAAACTCGAACATATGAGACAATATTGGAGATATGGTTACTACTAATAGAAAATGCGCGAAAATAATGTAGTCATGCATATTCATATCTCTTCCAGAACCACTCCTAGATGAATGAGAGAACAAATTGTTGTATTATCTAAATGCCTCAGCAGGATTATGTTTAACTGGATACGCAGGTATTTTGAATGGATATTCGTTGTATCCAGACCAGGTCAGCACCCTCTCTGGGTCTCTTTATATTCTAAAACGTAGCCATATACTCATTAGTTTGTCAACTGGCTACCAAGAAACTTAGAACTCCAATCAAATATCTTAACAAGCTTCTTCTTCACTAGCTTCTTTTTCACATGATATATAAGTCCAGCAGTGTCTCAATGGACTAGAAAACGAAACATATTGACCTGATTTCCGATGTCTCTGATGTCTCAAAAGCTCGGTATCTCCTCTAGTTGGTCTTGCCCCATTTGTGTTGATTCCATTCATGAGTAGAAGTAGAACATTGTCGCTAGATGGGTATATAAATCTACCAGGTCCCCTGGGCATGCGGCGGCGTCTGCTCTTGGCTTTTTTGGCCAGGAAGCGTGTGACCCAGGTTCTGGATAGCTTTTGTAGCTTTTGGGAAGAACGCTTCTCTGATGGTTTGTTTGGCTTGGTTGACTTGGGCAGACTAGCATCGTGATTGTTTTCCTGGTCGTCAAGTGATTGTAGTGGGTTGCTAAATAGATGTGCTGCAAACTGAGGCTCGTCTTCCTCTGAACTTCGCTCTGCCTGGTCATTTATGTACTCAGACATTTCCTCTCGAAGACCTCTGTCGTGCAAAAAGTAATCCTCGTCGATCAAATTCTCTTCGCAATCGAAATATTCCTCCCAGTCTTCGTCTCCATCCTCTTCGGCACCTTCATCTTCTTCATCGGAGTCTTTCAGAAAAGCAGCTTCTAGCTCAGACTCTTGATCTTTCGTCCCCGTTTCCGCTGTTGATTCCATTTGATCAGCATATTTGCAGTCGTCGTTTCTTTGACTGCCAGTGAGAGCTTGTTTAAGCGCATGCTGAAGAGCTTCAAAGTTGAATCTGCTGTACGTTTCTAGACTCCCCCATTGTCCAAGAATATCCGGCATTTGAGATGAGTTTGATTCAGTTGTTGTTCGTGGTGATTCTGGGGTTTCTGCGACATGTACTTGGTGCGGTAAAGATGGTGACTTTGAGATCAGGAAGTTTCTCGGTGATTGGGTCCTGTCAATCTAATGAATAATCAATATTGATCCCTATTATTGAATTATGCGGGAATGTTTGATTTGCTTACCGAATTTGAAACTCGCGTCGAACGCGCTTCTTCTCTCATCTCATTCTCCTCCTTTGCGATTAGTTGATTGAGTTTTGAAATTTCTTTGTCTGCCCACTCGGCTTCTATCTCACTATGATGAGACATATAGATCAAATATGAAGAGTTTAGATAATTCCTTTTTTTCTCAAATAGCTTGGTCAACCGGAAGATGGTGCTATGAAGCCAACGATATTTTTTAAACCTCAAAGTTAAGCAGACAGATTCTTAAATCATGAGTATCACTGTAAACATAAACCTCTGGGAGGATCCTAGGAAGAATAAAAGCTCTTTGGATGAAAAGTGGTGGAGCTAAATATATATAATATCGCTGCTCGCTGTACAGCTCTGTAGAAGTATATACGGCTTTCATGTATTGAAAGCGTGAGCACAATTTTCGAAGGATTTGACCGTATGCCAGGTACGGACAATTCTCATCAAAGTTCATTGGCCTGGAGGGAGGTAGACGACATTAGCAAATGGTATCAAGCTGTTGATCACTACAGTTTATGGACCGAAACATGGAAATTATAATTCGCTGATTGATTGAACTAACATCTAAGTTTAAAATTTCATAACTCGCTATGTGTAAATGCACAACTGACCATCCAAATCATCAAAAATGCAACTCAAACTCCGAGGCACAATGCTGCAGCGCGTACTGTACTCCAACGAGAAATCCACATCCTATGATCACGCATCAACGAACTTCTAAAGTCAGATACTGTATCTTGAACCTGTTTAACATACGTCAAACAATAACGTAGGTTAGAGCAGCCCGGCTTAGGCTTCCTCGTATTACCGATTCTCGAATCTACTGTCATATGATTCCGTGGCTTCCAATCTGCTCTCTTCACCTCCGCATACGATAGTTCTATCCCAAGGTTTTTATATTCTAACCTTTTCAAGACACGCTTTCTAACGCTACCTTTAGGAGATTTTGTCTCGTATTTTCGTCTTCGATGAGGATTGATTGCCTTCTGGGAATCTTTGAAACGAGTTACCCAATTTTTAGTGGGCCGACCGGACGCAAGCTCTTCATCTCTAACTACACGTTCTAATGCAGCTTTTAATAAAAGAGGAAACGAGGTCGAGCGATTTCCATCGGCTCCGCTGGTCTTGTCTGTAACATTTCCTCCTCCTCGAATCATAGTATTTGTATGCTTCACTGGATTCGTGATTGCTTTCTACATTATCAGTTAGTTCGGGATTTTTGTTGAATACTCTGGATTTCATGCAATCCGAGCCGCAATCAATATTCAGAAAGCAATCGGATGATAATTTGGGCGCTTGGATTTTGACGTCACTCCAAGCATGAAAGTAAATTCGGAGCTCCAAAACCTCCAACCCTTCTGCCAGCTCAACTTATTGAGGAATCTGAAAATACTCAAATATAGTGCTTACCGAACTTTGCCGAGCATCTTGATTATTCTTTGACTTTGCTGTATTCTCTCCAGCTAAGATGCCATCCGCATTCGTAGTGTTTTCCACTTTGAACAGATCGTTTAATGTCGGACTCACTGGCGATGCAGAGCGAGATAATATGTTATTATTGTCGTCGGACGCTAGTCCATTGTTTTGACTGCTGTTAATTATTGACTGCAGGTTTTGATCGTCTTCGGTAACTCTATTTTGCCCTCCCGACTCGTCGACACCAACAGACTCACTCGGCACATTCGATTCGTTGCTGGAAATTGCATTAGAACATCTCGAACGGAAACGGTGAAACCAGCTGAATTTCAGATGTCTCAACTGCACGAGAGGAGCCCACCATGGTGACTGCACTTCGTTTGGGCTGTGTAGATTGGACAGTGTGCGAGCTTCCTTGCGAGCACGCTGACGTTGACTGAAACCATAACGCGTCATATTTAATCAGATTGGTAGATTTTCGCTTTTCAGTTGCTCTTAAACAAAAGGAGTTCTCCGTTGTACCGAAATAATTGATGTTCCAAAATTTAACAGTAATTAATGATATAGATGCAATGATGTTGATATGGGCGAAGATTTAAAAGGCTCTGCTTGAAGATCCGAGATCTGTACATAAAATTTCAGTTGTCAAGCTTTCGGCAACGTCGATGGAAGGTTCTTGCTTTTTCGAGATTCTGATCTTCTATAATCTGGAGAATATGCTCCTGCCGTACCGATTCTCAGTCAGTTGGAGGTGATTCGTCATTAAAATGACGTAAATGACACAGAAACATTGTTGGGGAGCCGTAGTGGATAACTTGCTGATGCATTATATGATAATATCTGGGCAACCAAGTATTGGATCCGGTTGAAATTGTGCTGTAGAGGATTTCGATGTGTTTGGCCATGACGATATACCCAGTTTTGTTTCTATGCAGTACAAAAAGTCTTGTGGTATAATCGATATCAGGAATTTTGATATTGGCGATATATTTAAACTCACAGAGGATGAATACCCCCGCTTTGATGCATAAATTTGTCAGCAAGATTCCCTCATACGGTCCTTCAGGAAGGATGTTGCATGGCACGAACTAAAAGCACTTCTTCTGACTGCAATAGATGATTGAACTAGACTGTTTAACTTGAATAATACCTATTATATTCCACATTATCTCTACTATAACAACTTTCGGAAATTATCCAGAGCTTTACATGCTTACCATGGTGATATTTGATTTGCCATTTTCTCGCGCATTTGATGCCTTGGTCAAGTTAGTCTACCTAACCCTCATCTTTAAGTATTCTTCAGGTGAAGAAATTATCGCGACTTTCATGTCACCCTTTTCAAGCTTCATTGCAGGATGTGAGTGTGGTGACAAAGACGTTCGTGCATTCCTAACGTCACCAATATCTTTAGAAAAGTGAGTCATTTTCTTCAACCGCTTCCTTTTTCATGTACTTATACGTTCCTTCAATCAGTATAGAGTTTCGAGAGCAATTGCACCCATTTTATGATGATGGTAATTTGATCATACTGCACTTCGTCAGATAAGGGGATGGAATCATTAAGCGAGTTAAAGTGGGTCTATTAAGCTGCCATCCGACTAGTACAAAAATGACCTCCGAATACATGTGAACGCTGATGAAAAACAATCAAATAAGTCCCCCATCCAATCTATGCTTTGTACGAACGAGATTTCCTATGACAGTACCAGTATCCCAATCATTTACTGACATCAACTTCTGTATCGACTTCAGTCTCCTCCGCACCGTAATCATTTACAGCCACCAATGTGTTCTCCAAATACTCGTCAAAGATATCATATGGAGTCCAGCACTTTCGGAGAGATGATGGTATCTTTGAGATTCGTCGCCACCATATCCCTGGTAATTGTCTTAATTTTTCTTCTGCAGCCGTAAGACGCGTATCATGCATGCGAACTTTTCTAGCGTTGATCCTGGTTGCGTAACGAGTTGGATCATCGAAGAACGGCATTGCTGACGCTGATGAAATGCCAGGACCAAGGGTAAACATTGGCAGGAATTTCAAAACCGGTGTTGGAGGTGGTGAGTACGATGGTGGTGATGAAGGTGAGCGAAGAAGCAATGGCGCCACATCTTCGGCAACCTTCAACGACTCTTCCAAATCCATATCTTCGTCGTCACTATACTCGGACTGCGATATTTCCTCATCTTCAGAGACATTATTGCGGTCAGACGAAGACATAGTGAAATCGTTGTCGCGAATGGAGTCGGAGTTACGAACAGGATCTGTGTGAAGAATGGAATCGTTGTTGCGCATCAACTCGGAGATATCCATCAAATCGATACCCAAAGCATTTCCAAAAGCTCCTCCAGTGTTATTAAAATTACGCGCTCCCGCTTCTATCTGTCTACAATCCTCATTTGTATTCGAAACCTGATTATCGTTGGCATCCTCCACTTCTGTTGTTCGTCCTTCGACAGTCGATAGTTCAAGGGATAGTTCAAGGGACAGTTGTGGATCGATACTGGGATTGTTGCGCGACATGACTGAAAGGCAGTCGCTAGTAAACTATCGGGTTTTCTTCAAAAAGGCTAAGTTCGCTGTCTTTGACTGGCAGCATAAAACCACCAGGGTTTCTGTCAAACTAATTAGTATAATTTGACGATATACTGGTGAGTAGTTTGTTCACCTTATATTCACTGCACTTGTCGTCGTCTGATTGATGGATTGTGCCACTCGAGGATTCAGAAGAGTTTAAAGAGAATATTGAGGGGTTTGTGCGAGAACCAGCCTGTTTATTCAAAAGACTCTCGCTTGATAATGGAGTGAATATCGAGAAGTGAATTGTCGTCTGCAAGTCAATCCTGTGATATCCTGTTCCGAATTTGCGCAGTTAAATCCTTCTTTATGATAAATATGATAATCGCTGTAGTTTCATGTTTTGGGAAATGATACTAAAAGAAACACAATAAGAATGATTGTACGGATTGATACATGAGATATCCCGTAGTAAGTCTGAAGGAGTTGAACAATTTACAGCAGTATTATTAATAATGATTCCACAAAGACACTACATCAACAATGCACATGAAATTCAAAAGTCAATACACTTTTTGATTGGAGGAAAGGGTGATGAAGTGAAGTGAAGTGAAGTGAAGTCTATAGTTCACAATTTCCTATTCTGCCAGCTTATTAACCACAATGTGAGACATACTAGAATGCAGTTTCCATGTCATATCTGTGATTTCCTCCACCACCCAGTACCTTCCTTAAAATTCTGATGCATCCAACATAACTTTCGTAGAAACTATCATCCTCTGATTTGCATCGTATAGTATAATCTCACACCAACCACTCTTCCGAGCAACCTTTTAAGCCATCAGGATACATGTGACTCAGCATATTCTTGCGACCATCGAAGTGGGCTAAATTTCCGGCATCTGTATTTCAATAACTTCTCTGTTGCAGTGGCCAAGCGAACACTTATTGTGATCCCGTGGCGTTGAAGCCTTCTATTGCGAGCGAGCAAAGCCTTTTGTACCCGACTATTTTTCGAAAAGCGCGCCGCAAGCACTGGGACTGGTAGTAGTGGTGGTTCTCCACATTCTTTGGAAGTTGAGGACTTGATTGGCGACGGTGGGAGTGGTGTTCTGTCGGTTTTGTTAGATGCCGAAGGCTGAATCAAGCTTTCGTCGCACGAAACTTCGATAGAACTTTGATTTCGTATCTTTTCCTTTAGCTTTTCAACGATGATGCGCAATTCATCTTGCTCCTCGAAGAGTTTCTCCTCCTTTGTCGCATTGGTCCGATTCATTTTCGGTTTCGAGTTCAAGTATGAGTCTGACTTGTACTATGGGGGTTTCTGCGACTTCTCGTGGTGAGATGGAATTTGCACTAGATTTGATCAATGAACTATCTGCTGAAGAATTTCTCAAAAAATAAGTCTCGCTTCTTATATATCTATCATTATTGGCTCTGTGATTAGCGCAGTCACCTACACCGGGTCAGTCTTTCTAGTCAATGGCCAATCTGAAGCTAGTGATTAGTTCGGCTCTATCCGGAATACTTATTGTGACCGTAATACAACCTCTTTCCGTTGCGTGGAAAATTATTTTATTGAGTCTCTAGGCTTGGTTTGTGGTATTCATCATCTAGTTGGGTGCTCCTAGTTGACATCGATTCGTCACAATTCATGGAAAACTAAACAAGCATGAGCACACATATCTCAATATTTTTCCCTGTAAACTTATCACAAATTCCCATACCAAGGATACAGGACTCAATATCACATTTTGTGCAAGTCTATAATGTGGTGGGATGAATACATGCATTTCATGAACTGCCTTAAGCTAAAGAATGCCTCCTTTTGTATTCATTTACCCCAATGTTCCCACGATAGCTTCTTTCAAAACTCGCTGTGCTACCCAATTTGCTGGAAGATTCAACAACCTGATGGTGATATTTCCTCTTAAGGAATGTAGCTTCTACTAAAGATAAGAATGAGCGCTAATCCCGCAGTCCTGTGAAAATTGAATTTACTCACCCTCTTCACTGAACCCTCTCCCGCTATTTCTCAAAAGTACAGTGGAGTCTGAGTATCCTTAAGATACTTTCGCCTACAGCCAGGCTTCTTTCTCGCCGGTTCACTGCCTTGCTCTCTCGTCTCTAGTGTTCCGGCACACCATTCACAGTAACAATCTTCAAACATATGGGGGCCTTGGCTAATAAGGAAACGACATCTGATCACCTCCAGATTCACTTCTTCCATTGGGATAGAATAGTACCTGGCAGTATCAATTTCAAGTAGCCACATAACGGTTCTTCGTGAATTCTTCCACAAAACTGATTTTTCTCTATATTCGAACTCCGCATACTCTCTTGGGAGTTTCATTTCAAGAACGTATCCTAATGAATTGGTCTTCGACTCAGGCTTTTTAACTGTAGCCATATTCTTATCGGTAGTTGCGAAATTGGCTGAGGGAATCCTTCTTGTTTCGGTCGACATTACTGCTTGCTGATAATACTAATTCTCTATAACGTGGATCTATGAGACAATTAAGAATATAATCAATGTGATTATGAAAGTATTTCTGAGAGCTGTACGATTGAGAATACCTCTGGAAGCTCTTTTGGGTTGGTATCGGAACTCAGATACTATTTAGACTGAATTTTGATAGAGCTGATGGGAACTAGTCACTGGGTTAAACTAAAAGTAAGCAAAAACTTAATCTGTCAATCACCCATGCAAAGACTTTCGTGACATCCCGATGTCCAGCCCTGTATTTCGACTCTTTCCCATTCATCTCTAACCATCAATCGATCTTACTCTCAAATCTCAGACTATAGGCACATATCTATACATTTGAGTAGCTTCAAAATCTTTTCATGTACATGTACAAAGAAGTGTTGACAGCATGAAAATCCTTGACTTTGGTTCTTAGTAATAATGAAAAGTTAAACTTGTATCCACATGACAGATTTATTCAAAGCTAAGGTGTTTTCAAGGATGAGTTTTGATGAAACAAATAATAAGGCTGTCAGGAAGAAGCTCCTCCAAGATAGATTAGTTGGTGTAATTCTAGTCTAATTCTTCACCATAGGCAATCATTTGTTGATGATCAATTCACGAGGGTATCAATTTACCACTCAATGTCAGAAGTTTCACAGCTATGCTTCTCGGGTATTGACTCAATCTATTCTATTAACTACCCACCTAGGTATAATTATTGCTTTTGCTCTTCCATCCTATCCTGAAAGCTAAGTCATTAGATTAAATTCGAATCGCAGACACGATTATATGCCACTCGTATGTTGGCTCAATATCATGTGGATTTCGGTGGGAATCTCTTAGTCTAAACTTCTAGGAAGAAGATATAGACTTATAAGAACGAGCAAGTTCTTCGAGTACCATATCTTGCTCCATAGTTCGAGCTCACTTCGATTCTCACACAGTCGCCCATATATTTAGACCGCCTGCCAACTTCCCGGCATAACAATATGCGGACGACGTGCTCTTTCAAGTGGTCTACAAGCAATCATTGATCGCCAAAGCCCCGGTTGAGCTGCGATAACAGCCCGAGCCGAAGAACCCGCCTTTTCAACTCCATTCAAGCCATGCATTGTGTTTGTATCGTCGATCTCGACAAATCCAGAGTCGCATCCACAAGAGCACTCTCCTTTGCAAGTTCCATTTGATGGGACCGCGGCTTCTTCATTGACCATCAATACGAAGCTATTCCCAAAATCGGAATCAAAATCACTGTCAACTTCCTCTTCATATGTGCGAACGCCCAAGTTTTGGGTCGATTTCGTCGCCGTTGCTACTGCATCCCATTCGTGGTTATCAGCACCTTTTTCTTCGTCAATGGTTTCTCCCTGCAGAAGACTGCAACGCTTCGAACCATCACCAGATTCTGCTTCACGTGCATTGTCTTCTTGTCGTAAAGGTCTTGAAAACCAATCATCGCAGAAATCAAGTGGTTCGTCACTCCCCTCGACTGTGCAACCATCTTCCTCGTCTTCCTCAAACTTCCCAACTGCCTCATCAATATCGCCATGGTTCGCATCGTTCTCATAGTGAGAGATTCCTAAGATTGCGGATCTGCGAGCGGCTCTGAGCTTTTCGTGTTTCTTCTTCTTTTCTTCTGCTGCAATAGCTCTTGCGCCTTCGTGGGTATACTATTTGTTGCGATGCTAGTTAGCATGTGATCGCGCATGATGCCAACCGGCTCTTTCAATTTTTCCTTGACAAGTTAACTTACTGGGCATGGTTTCACTGGCTCCGGGTAGGACCAGGAATCGCGTTCTTCATCCGGATCCCCAAAATGTCTGAGTTCATTCTCCAAACCTCCAACAAGAACTGCGCCGTCATAGTCTGTATTCGTGACAGTGCGCCATCCAATAGCGCGCAAAATTTGAGGCGTGAGCATTTTAATGGTGTGTTTTCTTGGTAGATGCGATTTGTCTCTGATTTGTTTCCGAAGCTTTGTTGATAGTAAGTGAGAATGGATGGCTTTCTGGATTTGTTCGAGGGTGGGAAAGTAGCTGATATAGATAGAAACATCTCGTAGATTCAAGTTGATGATCTTGGTACGTTGGTAGAATACTGTCAAGACCACAAGAACCGTAAGAACTGTAGTCGCATATTAATGTCCAGGTTTTAGTCTCTTAAAATGAAAAATAGTGAATTATGGTCAGTACCGTACGTACGATATTATTACGTTCAATCTGCCGGAGTTCAAGTACGCTAAGAAAAAATGGCAACAATCACTATCAACAAGGGAGGAACGGATGATGATTTGAATCTCTCAAATGCAGACTATCTCAATAATCCTAAAAGCAATTATATTTATCTTCACCTTAGATCCTAATTTCACCATCCTATCGCTCTGTCTCTGTCTTAATATTTCCCAATTCCACGGACCTTGAAAATTGGTCTTTGTACTTCATCAGAAACACTTAACTAGAGTTCATCTCTAACTCCTACCGTGATAATTATTGCGCCAGATAAGAAAAGAACTCTCGTCACATATCATATTTCATGCGTACAGCCTAAATATAACATCTAGATCCTTCTTCACGAATGACTGTCTGGCAGTGCCTTAAATTTGATGGTGTCCACCCCCAGGTTGTTGGTTCCTACGATTCAAAATATCAGTACTACATATGGTGATGAATTCTCAGATGAAATGTTGGGAAGAAGCTACTGTGAGAAGCTAAGGTGATTGAAAACATGAATCAAGTATACGAAATCAAGAAAGATCCAGACTTACCGAACTACGATAGAACACTTTTGTAGGATGAGCTTCATAGTCACTGGCCTTTACTGCCGTGAAGGACACTTGAATACGAACCACGCCTTTCCCCATCAATGGGTGATCAATTCGAACCTCTTCTTCAACCTCCTCGAGCTCGGTATGAGAACTGTAGCACGAATCACTATCCCAACAATCGAAGCCACCAAGCTCAGGAGCGCTGTGAGCCGACCCAATGCCTGAATCACAATCATCCACTACAACAGGAATATCGCCCTGCCAGTTATGAAGAGTAAATTCTGTGACTGCCGTAGTTTGGTTTTGATCTTGATCCTTCGATTCTTCGATTTCAGGAATGGTATCCAGAAATGTGTCTGTATATGATTCTTGGGCGAAGTAGGATACTGCTCTAGGAATTCTAGATGTCATAGATGCACCCAGTTTTCTCTTCTTGGGCGAGATGACTTCTTCAGGAGCGGTAACTACTGCAATGCTATCGGCGTTCAACATTGTCTCAAATTTCAATGCGTAGTCGTACGATTCGATAGTATATTCGTCGTCGGAGAAATCTATAGTCTGGAGTATGAAACATTAAAAGTGCATTCAAACGGCTTGTGAATCATTCTTACCTCATAGTCTCTGAAATCAGATGCTTCTCCCATGAATGTGTCTTTATCAAATTTAGATGTATCGACAAAGTGTATAGTAGGTGGAGCATCGATGGATTGCTCTCCGAATTCGTCGTTGGCTTCGTCGGCCCAGGATTTGGTCATTGGTGGCAATAAGTTCGCTAAAGACATTGATGGAACAATTTTTTTGGTAAGTTAGGGGTAGCAAATGTATATGCCTGAGTTAGATATAGTGGTAGTTATTACAATGTAGACCGCTAATCTACTAATAATTGATTGTTTTAAGTCTTTGCAATTAGTTGTTTAAAAGTAGAGAGTCAGTGGCCTGATATTCGCTTTTTATAATGTTTGATTTCAGAAGATTGGTTTTCTGGTGAATTAGTTTATGTGTACATATGATTTGATTCACGAAATGAGAAACTCATTAAATATGTATGAGTAGATGAGAGGCGGCACACTAAAAACATTCAGCAGTACTAGCCGCATTTCGAAAACCTTTTTACTTTAGTGGTTAAGTAGCTGTATATCTACAACTTATTGGTAAGCAATGTATGTTATGAGATCGTATGAAGCAAATAAGCGCAATCATGTAACGAATTTGTGTAGCAGTAGTCATGACGTGGTATTAAGGAGTGTTTTGCACATCACAATATTGAAGTTCACAAATCGACGATAGTAGATATACGGCCATGGGTGCAAAAGTCTTCTAAATTCACAAGGTACGGTTTTGTTGAATCACAACAGATCTTCACTGAAGCTCAAAAGGCAAAGGAGAAAATATGAACTGAATTTCGCTATCTAGCCAAGGTGACCTGGTATGCGTCGTAGAATGCGACAAAATCACTGGTACTAAGACTATGCATCATAACCGTACACCCATGTCTTAGATACCATTTCTACAACCGATATTATTGTCAAAGCATCTTTATCGGTGGTCTTATGAATTCCCCCATACGCTCTCCCCGTCTTTCCTATGCCAACATGACTTGTCTCAACGGAGTCTGTTTCTTTACTCTCCGCCTTCTACTAATTGGCCACAATGCTGCTCCTTGTAATTCAAACGCCTCAACCTATTACTCTGTCAATGTCGTTGTGCATGGATGTTTTCTACCATAATACGCTCACCTTTTCTTTTGCTTCTGTTTCCGTTGCCATTTTCAGATTTGCCAATTTATTGTGGAACACACTTTCGAATGAGCTCATTCCGGAATCGACTATTCCACTGATATTAATCTGAAGGTTTGTCACATCCTTGAGGGAATCGTCGAGGTTGCCTTCGTCGCTGACAGGATCTGGCAGTTCGCCGGCGGCAACCTACGATTTCTTCGGTTAGTGCTTTTGTTTCATCAAGGTGGTAACGTTTTTTCAAGCTTGTCACGGGAACTAGCAAAATACAGATGACAAGAGGGAAAATGAAAGGTTCGAGTAACTTACTGCCTTGTTGGTATCGTCTACCCGATCAAAAGTCATCTTCGCCCTTTGATTTTCGCCGTTGGCCATTGTGTATCGATGAATGTGAAATCACTTTCGAGAAAACATGTGCAGTGGAAATTTTTCTCTGCATTTAAGGAAATGGGCAACAAAAAGCTAATACACGTCACGTTTTGGTTTGAAGTACTAAAACTTGGCTAGATACTACTAGTATCACCAATATTTCGGTTATTGGAGCTCTCAATGGGCTAGGCAAATTAGTGGAAAAAATATGTTTTCGCTTATTGATCTGGTATACAAGCCACCAGGTCTAGTCTCATACTTATCGAATTGGTATTGCATGGAGTCAATGAAAGACGTGACATAATGTGGAACTCACATCGCTATTTTGCTGGTAGATAAGCGCTTGCCCTTACCATTGGAAAGCTTTGGTTTGTGCAATTCGAGGATTATAGTCTACAGCCTGTTCGAGGTCAGTCATTTGCTACGCCATTGATTTCATGACGTATATCTTATATTGTGTCAATTCCTCCAAGGCTTAACATACAATCCAAAAGCTCTAGGGGACCACGTGAGTCTCAGGTCTATGTCGATCTTAAATAGCTCACTCACACTAGTAATTGTTCAACGGCTCAAAACGAGTACACATGAATCTATGCAACACACTTAACCAATACTTCCGAGAATCAGTCGAATACCATTGCAGATGAATTAAATCTATCAAATCCAGCAATGAATGTTAAGATGAGAATAAACAGATCCTCGAAACTGATAAAACGGCAAACTACTGCCCAATTTCTGCAGCGATGAATTGTTATCGAACCGTTGATAATTTGCAAATTTGTGAAAGCCATGAGAATGTATATAACAAAAATAGATGGGAAAAGAGTAGTGCCCTTCTATTTCTATCACAGAAGATACATTTCCATCTGCACAAATGTCAAGCACAGCACATTCATGAACCAGCCAAAAAGATTGTGCGAAGCTTCGAAGGCTTCTCAAATTGCGCAATATTCACCCCTTATACCAACCTATGCCTTGCCACACCCAAATCACATCACCAGTCTTCCCATCTGTAATACTCGATATTCATCTCCAACCCAAATCGCCGAATCTCTCGTATCCCTAAGGATACCCCAGCGGATTTCAATCACTACCCTCGCCCCCACCCTCACGTACCTCACTGTCCTCCTCAATAAGAGTCCAACATTTCCTCAAAGGGCTCGGTTTCGCACAGGGAAAGTTACCATATTTTTCATCCGCTTCCGTTTGCTCCGCTTCTGTGGTCTTGATACCATACACGATGAACAGAACCTCCTCCTTTCGCTTCTCTCGTTTCTCTTGTCTTTTTGTCTAGCTTTATCGCGGTCTGATAACTTTACTGTTTCTGATGTCGACTCGTCATTCTCTGCCACAATGAATTCATCTTCCAGCAACGTCATTGCTGTTCTGATCTCAGATCTTTATCAGATCTTTATCTTTTAGGCGTAGATAGATCTGGACAGAGAAGGTTCTGCGAAGATAGACTTTTAGTATATTTTCTTCTTGAATGGTGAGTAAAGTGAGTTCTGACTGGAGATCGATTTTATACCAGATCAGATAGGTGAAGTGGATGATAGTCTACCAAACTCCTGAAATCCAATCTTTATATGAAAATATCAAATTCTGCGAATTGAGCCGGTGTATTTGTGAAAGTTTGTGTCTCTTCTCAGGAACTTGATTTGTATTTATACCCGGTGGTTCGATCCCGAGGCTACTGTATTGCAGCTCAGATTCACTACTACTGTTGCATAACCTTTCTTTCCAATCTTTCGATGTTTTGTTGGATTTGCCATAGTTTTTTCGAGCCACTCTCTGATAGTGAATATAGTTACGGGTGATTGAAAATGAATGATTTGGTGAACTCTGGAGCACCAGTTACTACACACATTCACAAAGAGCTTTTCAATGCTAATCTAAACCTAGCCACAGTAAAAAATTTCATTATACTGTAAGACTGAATTTTTCATGGCTTGAGTAATCCCATCAAGCTCCGGGATCAAAAGAATACTGTAAGAACATAATTCGCTGTATCCAGCTAGTATACTGGGAGATTGTCACTTGGAAAAGCTTCGAAGAAGGACCATGAAGTGTAAATTCTTGTTCATTTGTGTAATCGTAATAGGTAATAGGTAGTATTAAAGAAGACAGATACAGCGCTTCTGTTGGTCAATTCATGACGATTCCGCCATCAATGACCAACGTTTGTCCTGTCATATAATCACTATCTGGACTTGCCAGATAACTGACACATTTGGCCACATCCTCTGGAACGCTCGTTCTTCCAAGTAAGATGAGATCATCAGTGTACTTCTTGATCGTCTCTCCTTTCTTAACACCTTTCGTCTTTCCCAGCTCCTCGTCAATCAAATCCCACATAGCAGTGCCCACTATACCTGGTGCGTACCCATTGACAGTGATCTTGTGTTCTGCCATTTCCATAGCAAAAGCTTGAGTGAAACCTCTCACAGCAAACTTTGAAGCACTGTAGTGGGAGAGCATAGCGAATGGCTTGAAAGCAACGATACTAGGAGTTTGCTCAATAAATAATCAAGTGATGTAGTTTCAATTTGCTTTGAACATACCTGGCAGCACCAATTATCTTTCCACCTCCACCTTGTTTGATCATTTGCTTTGCAGCCGCGCTGTAGCAATTGAAAATTCCAAAGACGTTGACGTCGAACATCCTCCGAACTTCGTCCTCGGATAGCGATAAGAGCGACTTAACTTGTGCAATCCCGGCATTTGCAATCATGACATTCAAGTTTCCTAGATTCTTGACTGAAGCCTCGATTAAACCTTCGACCTCAGTGAGTTTGGACACATCTGCGGCATGCCCATAGGATGCTCGGCCCATGCCCTGGATTTCTTTTACCACCTTTGCACCGTTTAGTAATCTGCAGACCATAGAATATTTCCTGAATACAAACCTCGTCGATGCCAGCTTGATTTGCAGGAATATCATTTATACAAACGTCGAAGCCATCCTCTGCCAGCCTAATTGCGATGGCCTTGCCACTATTTACTTGTTAACTGTTTGAAACTTCCCGGGTGAGTTTCTGAGACCTCACATCCCCCTTGCAGATCCCGTAACAATCACTGTTCTCTTTCCATAATCTCTGGTGACTGCAGTGCTGCTTGCCATTTTAACTTTAAGCTGTGATTCGAAGCGAGTTCTAAGGGATTGTATAAACAGTGGATGTGCTTCGCTGAAAAGATTAAAGGAAGGACTTTATGATCTGAAGTTCTAGCAGGAGCCATGAGCAACAGCGCGGGGGACCGCTGGTAGTACAATAACATCATGGATTCATTCCGTACGCCCATGAAGTGATTCTGCCAAACGTGGAGAGAGGGGTAGATAAGATTCGCGGGGTCAATTATCTACCCCACACAAGCCCCATGCTGCAGTGTAGCTTCCTATTGGTCACCAGCTATAGCACTGTGCCTGTGCGTAGTATATCTCGGATCACTCTGTCAGAAATACGAGTACTAGTCATTCCTTGGAAGAATGTAGGCCGCCGGTGAGCTCGAAAATTGATAATATATGACAATAATATAATAATATCTATTCTACTGTGGAGAGGCTTCGTTCCCGGAATTGGAGAAAGCCCTCACATGGTTACCTAGGTACACCGCTAGCAGATCTGTTCATGCTTCCCTAGCATACCAAGAAAACAAGAGTCACACATTGTTCTACAACTCATTTGTGTCGCCAAAGTCGTAACACCATCCCCCCACGGTTCTCAACTCCATTCATTCATTGGGATCTTTGAATACCAACTTACCTTCCATCTATACTAAAGACACCCATAGACCCAGCTTTCCTTTCGGGGCCCAGATTCGATATCGAAGTTACAAATCTTGTTTCAGACGACAAATATCTTGTGTTTCTTCTCACGGCAGGGTTGAGATGATATCACCATCGTTTCTTGACAAATCTTACATTTTTCTTTGACCTATACTATCACGACTTCACTGCTCTAGTAACTCCAAGCAACACACATCCTCTCATCGAAAAGCCTAGTTGGAGACAGTTGAGAGAGAGACTCATACACGAACAAATCAAGAGCGATGTTCTGAGTTCAGCTGAGCATTCGACAAATCCAGCGAGCGGAGCAAAGATGCCAAGATCTCACTCGATCCAATATTCCGTCATTTATTCAAAGATACCGCCGAATACCCGTATAAATAGCTTTGATGCCAATGGGTAATAAGTGAATAAATAGATACAAAGCTCTACGATCTTCCTATAGATATCTCGTGCAAGACTTCTCTCATCGAATAGTTGCGAGAGGACCTTTCCAGCAACTGGGCCATGGACACCAGAGATGGCGCACCACCTATTCTAAGCTTTTGAGCCAGGATTTGGGGATCAAAAAAGCCTTGGAATTGCTGCTGAAAAGGGTGGGTTAAAACACGACGAGAGGTAAGGTATTGATTCGACAATAAACAAGAGTTATCGGACAAAACACCGTTGTTATTTTGTCGTGTTTTGTCGATTATATAAAAGTCTACACAGATCATCTTGTATTTATTCTCAACTTCTGCCCATGACATATCCAGGGATTTTCACAGTGGATTTCGCAGGAAGGTCTGATATTTCCTCAGACAGTATCTACAGCTGACATACATGTGTACATGCAACATTAGACTGCCTTGAAGAAGTTCACGGAACGACCCTTCCGAGAATAAGCAAAGCAAACCCAATCCAACAATAGATAGCTTACCCCCAAGCCTCCCCAGATCAACCACTCACACCCCACCGGAATAACTAAAACCCATCCACAAACGCCCCCCAAAATAGCAAGGCTCTCCAAATATCAATCAATATCAGCCGACATCCACCACACCTCACAAAGTTTCATCTCATCGGAAGTCATCCTATTGGAGCTCCCCCCCTAGCACGAACAGGAACACCCATGAAACATCCCCAGCCCTGTTTCAACCCACCAAAGAACCCCGGATCCCCTTCCGTAAGAAGCTACCAACCACACTATGGGGATTCTAATCCATGGAAGCTAAGTCAATAC